TGACGATGCGGGGACGGCGAAGAGGTTCAAGGCGTTGGAGGAGGAGCAGATTGCAAAGGCGGACGTCTTCATGCTGGTTAGAATCTGTGGTGCAAATAAGTGGTATTCAGGGAGGTTGCGGAGGATCTGGGGATGTCATTGTTTGAGCGGACCTCGGAGCTTTGTAGAGGTTGCTCGGCGATTGTTTGTGAGAAGGATAGGTACAAAGGACGGCTTCGGGGACTTGGGTGGTTCGACTCTCTCCAAGTATCGGGCGCATTCATGCTCAGTGCGGCAGTGAGTATCAATGGCGCGCACCTGCTCTTCAGTGGCCAGTGCTCCTGCTATCGATCCGATAGCTCCGCTGCAGGAGCGATCGGGCGGGGAAGGGGCAGCCAATCGGCTGAGGGAAGTGGCCTGGGGTGAGCTCGGTGTGGGACGAATGGCAGAGGGCAGGAGCTCCCGGTGAAGGTACAAACCAGTGCCCCTCTTGCTGACCTTGACGTAGGGAGGTCACTGGAGGAGGTAAGAGCAGTGCAGCACGAATCACAAACACGAATCAGTCCTTCTGAGATCCAAACACCATCTCCAGTTACATCTCATACCTTGATATTGATATTCATTCTCCAACTTCCAGGCAGCCCCATTGACCAGCATCACTTGAGCATCAATTCACCCGACGTCAAGCAGGTCACGTGGACCCACCTTCCCGCTACCTCGCATAGGCAAGGGGTCCTGCCCCAGAAGGCAAGGTGAGGCGCACCGCACCGCACCACACGACGCACAGTGAGTAAGGTGGTGACCTGGCGCTGAGTGCCACGCCCACGCCCACGCCCACGGCCCACGGCTTCGGTCCAGTCACCACAAACTTGCTTCTTCCCTCTCCTCCCACATAACCACACACCTCCACGCAATCCACCACCAAACAACCACTCTCGCGCTCTTCTCGTGGACGAAACACATTTTTGCTGTTTCAGTATCCCGAGTCAACAAACGACTATCACAAGAACAATCGAAATCGCGCACTCAACCACCTCACCACCCCTCAACTCTCAATCCTGCAATCCGTGCACCTCCCAACTCCTAGAGTCCGGCCGAAATCCACCACCACCACCTCAACCTCCGGACACGGAATCCAGACGATCAACCACGCGACTGCTGTTCGCTTCCTCGAGACCTTCATCCGAACATCCTATTTCGAGCGACACATTTCTTTGTCGCCGAATAATCCCACCCTGACCTGACATTCGTCGAGTCCGAATCGCCCCTCGATACACCGCAAAGTGGGGAAAGCAAAAGCCCTTTTGCGCAACCCCCCTCCACGACTGCCATCTCCCTCACGATCCTCCCCTCCTCGCCATTAGGCACATACCCCATATTCATACTTTCAAATGGCGGAAGCACTCGCAGACAAGCTTAAGGCGACGTCCTTGGGGTTCGTAGACCTCTCCCACCGCCTGTAAAGAGTACATGGACTGACTAGCCTAGCGATGGTGCCGCACCTGAAGACTGGAAGAAGAACTTGAAGCTTCCCGCCAAGGATGGCAGACATCAAACCGAGGTATGTATCTGCTGCGCTGTCGTATTTGCTGCCAGGTATTCATATCAAAATCCAGGATGTCACGAACACGAAGGGCCTGGAGTTTGAGAACTTCCAATTGAAGAGAGATCTGTTGATGGGCATCTTCGAGGCTGGATTCGAGAAGCCGTCCCCCATCCAAGAAGAGGCCATCCCCGTTGCCCTCACCGGCCGCGACATCCTCGCTCGTGCAAAGAACGGTACCGGCAAGACTGCAGCTTTCGTCATCCCCGCCCTCGAAAAGATCAACCCCAAGGTCTCCAAGATCCAAGCCCTCATCCTCGTCCCTACTCGTGAACTCGCCATGCAAACATCACAAGTCTGCAAAACCCTCGGCAAGCACCTCGGAATCAATGTCATGGTCACCACTGGAGGCACTGGCCTCCGCGACGATATCATCCGTCTCCAGGATCCAGTCCATATTGTGGTCGGTACTCCCGGAAGAATCCTCGATCTCGCCGGCAAGAACGTTGCCGACCTCAGCGAATGCCCCATGTTCATTATGGACGAAGCCGACAAGCTTCTTTCCATCGAATTCACCCCCGTCATCGAACAGCTTCTTCAGTTCCACCCCAAGGATCGCCAGGTTATGCTCTTCTCCGCCACATTCCCTCTGTCCGTCAAGGACTTCTCCGACAAGAACATGGTCAGCCCCTACGAAATCAACCTGATGGACGAACTCACCCTCCGCGGTATCACCCAATACTACGCCTTCGTCGAGGAGAAACAGAAGGTGCACTGCCTCAACACCCTTTTCTCCAAGCTGCAAATCAACCAATCCATCATCTTCTGCAACTCTACAAACCGTGTCGAGTTGCTCGCCAAGAAGATTACCGAGCTGGGCTACTCGTGCTTCTACAGTCACGCCAAGATGGCCCAGCAAGCGAGAAATCGTGTCTTTCACGACTTCCGTAACGGCGTTTGCCGAAACCTTGTCTGTTCCGATCTCCTCACTCGTGGTATCGATATTCAGGCCGTCAACGTTGTGATCAACTTCGATTTCCCCAAGAACGCCGAGACCTACCTTCACCGCATCGGTCGCTCCGGTCGCTATGGCCACTTGGGTCTGGCCATCAACCTGATCAACTGGGATGACAGGTTCAACCTCTATAACATTGAGAAGGATCTCGGCACTGAGATCCAGCCCATTCCCGCTAGCATCGACAAGTCTCTATACGTCTACGAGAACCCTGAGTCCATCCCCAGACCCATTTCCAACTTCAAGACCGGCCAGCCCGGTCCCCAGGGCCAGCTCCCGGCTCCTCAGCAGCTCCTTCAAGGTCAGCAGCCTGCCCCTGGCAACTGGCAGACCCAGAACCCCCAACAACAGAACGGCTACCAGGGCGGCGGTAGAGGCCGCGGACGCGGTCGTGGCGGTTACCGTGGCCAGGGCCGCGGCGGCTACGGTGGTCGGGGACGTGGAGGCGGCCACCACGCCCAGCAGCCCCAAGGACAGGCGTCCTAGGCAGGCGTCCTATCTTCTCCATTATAGAAAGGCGTTACGGAGTATACGTCGCACGGAACACGCGACGGCGTCTACTGTTGGATTGTACATATTTTCTTTTCCCTGGTTTTGAAGGCGACAGGGCACGACTAGACTGGGTCGGGCGTCTCACACACGAGCTTCCACATTCTCTCACACTACTCAACGATCACGAAAACGAAAACACCAATCAACCCCCGCCACTCGTCGCCAAGCAGCAAAAGCTTCGTTACATATTCGCAAACTTTGGCCTGTACCATACCCCACGGATCTTACTGGTCTTTTGTTTGACTTCTTTTTCCTTTCCTTTGGCCTTCTGACGGCAGCATTTTCAACATGAGCTGGAATTGCGTGGTGTCTGGAGACAACAGAACGAGACGACGGGTAACACATGGGACGAAAAACAACAACTACCGCAGGGCGTGGCGTCTGGTCCTGAACGAGGCTCTTTGATGGTGTGGAACATTCCGGTCCCATCTTTTCATGTCATGTTGTTTCTTCTTTTAACGACGGCGTTTTGGGGGTCAACAAGCGGCTGAACGGCATCAGCCCTGGGATGGCGTTCGCATGGAAGACGGCCATATTTGATTTTGCTGGGGAAAAAAGTGGAGTTGGCCCTCGTGGCACGAGGGCGGGAAGACGGGGCGGTCCGGTAGCTCATCGACTGGTTTGAGCGCCGCGGTGTGTTTTGAGTATTAATCAATCAATCGCGGAGACGACTTGAATGTTGGGATACGAAACGGAGGGCGGTCGGGGTGACTTGGCATCCAAACGGCGTCTGTCGGGGCATGGTTCCCCATCTCATCCATGCATTTTCTTTGGCAGGGGGGGACTTTGGCTGGAAGACACCTCGTCCGGGATAGGAGGAGCGTCGTTGTCGTTGGTCGACAACCAAGATGTCTTTCTTGGTAGCGGTGGCGGTTGCCATCCGTTACGTATTCTACGCCTATACCCTGCTTCTTTCGCGAGAGCGGGCTCGACGCACGACCGCAGAAATACCCGAGTATCATTATGATGTTTGGCTCCTTCGATCCGGCGACCAACTGAAGTCTCGGAGACGCCTGTAAAGGTAGATCCTGGGACGAAAGGCTAGTATCGCCAAGGTTTTCGGAGGGGAGAACATATTTTGGTGCTCACAACGACAAGAAAATATCGGAAAAAAAGGTTGGGAGAGAATCGCTAGGCGGACTGGACGGCTTTTGGACTAGTTCAGCTTCGTGCTGGGACTCGTGGGCTAGATAGTTGTCTGAGCATTTGAAATGGCAACGTCATTATTCTCTCTCATATATGTTTCCGTGACATAATTCGGGAGCTGTTGTCCCAGGTTAATCACAGGCGGTAGCCATGATGTTGCTTGCGAGCCTATCTCGCAGAAGCTGGCGACGGTGATCACCGTGTTGGATTGCTCAGATACGGTCTATACTCAAGAGGGTGTCGGTGAGTCGAAGGAAGCGTTGCAAGATGCTTTTACATCCTAATGTGGTCGGGCATTGCGCTTGAGATTGAAGGAGATAGTTGGACCTGTGCTGGCTGAAGGGAGGTCCGGCGTGTGGGATACGTCCTCCCCTGGCTTACCGGCCGCGCTGGTGTTAATGTAACGGCTCGATTGCACGGCTCGATTGCAAGCAGTAGCCGATCTTGGTTGAGAAATTGAGCAAACCTGTGCCATTTGAGCGTAGCTTTCACGACGCGGTTTCGGGCTCTTCTCATCTTTCATTCAGCCTCTGACTCCAACTAATCTGAGTTCTAGATTGCCCAATAGCTTATATCGAGCTGAGCCAATGAGTAACGATTCACCCTCAAGCTTCTGCGCTCTTGAATGTGGACACAAACTCTCACCCTTGAACGATGACGGGCGAACGACCCCGCCACGGATGAAGGACTTGGAAAGAGGTACATGATGCTTGTCAGAGTCATAATCTCATCCTCATCTCATGATCCGACGAATTATTAAATTGCTTATGAGCTCCACCCCGCAAACAACACCTCCTGCAACCGCCGAAAGACCTCGTCCTCGCCGGGGTAGTCGGGGCCCTTGATCGACTCAAATGCAGGCAGCAACACGCTCTCGTCAATCTCCTTGTACTTGCCCAGCTGGACGTGGATGACCTGCCCGTTGCGGGACGCGTCCGCCATCATCAGGGCCGCACCGCGCGCAACGGCCTCCGCGGGCTGCAGCTCGACGCCGATCTTCTTCATCAGCCCCTTCAGGTCCGGGAGCACGCTGCTGTCGGTCCACGTGGGCGCCAGCGTGTTGACTCTGATGGGCAGGCTGGCGGCCCCGAGCAGGGAGAAGAGGCCGCGCCCGAAGCCGAGCACCGCGTGTTTTGCGGTGGCTTCGTAATCTGGTTAGTCTGGGAGTCGTAGGAGTTGTAGAGAAGGGAGAGGCTTACAGTAATCCACAGCGCGGAGTCGTTGCAAACCCGTCGTGGAGCCGTTGATGACGATGCTCCCGCCCTCGGCCTGCTGCCGCATGTGGAAGATAGCGATCGTGGCCGTGTGCATCACGCCCTTCAAGCTAACATCCAACAGCGCATGCGACGGCTCCTTCAGATCGCCGTTCTCGTCGACCTCGGTGGAGAGGTAGTTGGCATTGGGCCCCATGCCAGCGTTGGCGAAGACATGGTCCACGCGCCCGTAGACCTCCTTGGTCTTCTTGAACAGCGCGATCTGGTCCGCCCAGAGAGTCACGTCCGTCTTGACGAACGTGTAACACGCCTCGGGCTGCTGCGGCGGGGGCTGGATGTCGGCGTTGACGACGGAGGCGCCGTGGGCGAGGAGGGTGGTGACGGTGGCGAGGCCGATGCCCGACGAGCCGCCGGTGACGATGACCACCTTGCCCTTGACGCCTGCGAGGTCTTCATCCGCGATCAGGAATTCGGCCATGGTTGTGAGGTTGCGATGCGGCGCATGGCGTGTGTAACGCGGGCGGTCTTGGCGAGCATGTCGGACTCTTTATTTAAACAGCTCCTGCCCCCAGCGAAAAATGTCCGAGAATGCAGCTGTTGATCTGCTTTGTGCCACGTAATCCCCCCTCCGTTGAAGAAATGATTGCAGAATGCTCCGGGGGTCTAGTGTGCTTTTCTCAGAGTCCACTTTACGCTCCGTGGGAACATGGGATGTTCACCCAATGGATTGGCGGGGACATGGCGATTGCGGCACTCGCACGATGCGAGGAAGCCAATTGAGAGGTGGCGACCCTTGCCTAGCGGATAGGCTACAGACTGCGGTATCAAGGGTTTTTTAACAAGGGACGAGGGCCACAACTTGACGTGGCATTCTGCAATGGCACTTACATCGGACTCGTGCGCTTCATGTGGAGTAGTAAACCGAAGTCCCATCGCTTAAGAAATATGGAATAATTGCGGGCTCAGAGTTGCTAGTTCTCTCAAAGTTGGAAGAAAGACTCAACGACATCCTCACCTAGTACTCAGACGGCGTGCGCTGTTCGCCATCTTCAGCACTCTTTTCTCATTTGGGGCAAGGCATGCTCTCGGACCCGATAGACATGGTGGTTTGACTAGGTCTTATGACAAGGTGGTTGAGTCCTGAACCAAAATCTCTTTACCCAACCAGTCTTCAAAACTTGTGGTTGAAGAAACAGTTATTTTGAAGAAGTATCAGAACACGAACCAAATTCGACACTCAACTCTACGAGAGTTTCATTCTGAAGAATATTTCCAGTCAATGGAGGTGATTCACAATTCCAATAAGTTAAAGTTGCCAACCCCATCAGCCTTCTAAGCTATGCCCGTGTCTTGACCTTGAGGAAGTGCTTCACGGAGTTGAGAAGCGATGTGACCTGAGAGGGTCAGTCTAGTGTCCATCAGTTGGCCAAGAAACAAACGCCATGACTCACTGGCAACGTCCCAGCGTCTGACAATCTTGTCCGAGAGGCTTTGTATCACTTCTCGCAACAGATCCCCGTTATCTCGACCGTGGTGTTTTCCCAGTAGGATGGCGGTGAGTCCAACCCTATGGAACAGAATAACAGCTGTGAGGGGCATCCTGTTGAGCTCGAGGATATCCACAGTCTTCTCCATGCGAAGGAGGTCTTGAGCAATGTTTTTGGCTGATTCGAGAGCTGCTATTGATGACTCTTTGGCGAAGAAAGGGATCTCTTCCTCGCCAGCACAGGTCAGTCTTTTTTCGTGAAGTTCTACGAGCGCTCTGTCCCTCGATTAGCTGCCACGTCTGGATGCAACGGGAAAAGTCTACTTCCAAGAGATATATGGTCACCACGGTATACTGGTGCTCTAGCCTCTTCCAGGATAGTGCTAACGTTTCTCGGATCTTTCTCTGTACCAGCATATCGAGCTTCCAGGACTCATGGTCCAGGAGTGTTTCTAGCTGAACCAACGGGCTTCTTGTAAGCTGCATGACACGCTGTAATGCATGCAAGGCTTGTATTTCGCTGGCGAAAAGTCCGTATCTCTGGGCTTCATCCACTAGAAACGACAGAAGTGGCAGAGATGAGTCGCTGAAATCATGGCGAGTACTCCATACTTCGTCCTCTCGCGGAAGGGCTCGACCGATGTGAGAGTTTTGGACAAGGAATGCTCGTTCAGACTTCCAATTGGCGTAAAAGTCTAGTCTGTCGAGGAAACAGACAGCCCACCATACCCGTAGTCTCTCTTCGTCAGCTGCTGTCACGGAGCGTGGGGTTTGATGGAGATTGGCGATGTGGCCGAGACTGGCACAAATTGCTAATGTGGCGTATGCCTCAGACACGAGGCCACGCCCTTGCTCGTATATGGCGAGCAGTAAGCCTGACTGAACAGTCTTTAGGTGACGCCTTGAATATGTCTGCAGTAGTAAGAATGACGACTTGCAGTCATCATATAGCGACGGCAAGAGCGCTTCGTGACGTTGCCCAGAAGCCGACGGAAATGACGGAGTGATGAGCAGAATGTGTAAGAGAAGACAGGCGAGCTCGGCACATGGTCTGCTCTGCAACGATGATACTTGCTCTTTCAGGCTGATTGGGTGAATGATCGGGATCCATTCGTGTATTGACCTCAAGTAACCATCAAGGACACCCTGTATTTGAAGGTCGAGTTTTCTTAGCGTAGCGAAGAGGTGTGCTGTCAGCAAATCGTTAGGATGCTCTCGTTTCGGAACACTCGGTCCTAGATAAGAAGCAAGACGTATGAGGTTTTCCTTGAGATCCAGGTCGTTTGACGGAAGTTGTTGGGCTGTGGACGAAGAGCCATAGTGGCACGTGCTGTTGCGACTTGTCGGCATCAGAACTGATCTGCGTGCTAGACTACACCTTACTACTTACCTTACACATCGGCTGCAAGCCGGCAATGACCGATCGCAACCTTTTTTCCTCATCGAGCACGAATGGCAGGCATTTGAAGCCAAGGTACTTGCTGACATACTGTTCGTCTTTTGAGGTCAAGTTGTCATGACAGTCACCTTAACGAAAACGAATCTGATTTCTTAATGAGTTCATGGAGTTGACGGTTGTGTTTCTGACAAACTGTTCCGGGTGCCAAATGTTGAGCTAGTCCGCCGCTAGTCCGCCGCCGACCCGCCTTTGGCAGAGCCAAGATTGTCTGAACTGTCGGGGTAGTGTCGGACAAGTGATGTGCCCGCGGTATGGTCACGGCAATGCTGCTCTCCGTCTCAATGGCTGCGACAGTAAACCCTAGAACACTTGACCGTCCTGAGATGGGCCGCAGTCGTAACTGAAAACTCTCCCAGTAATTCAAGCAGATGGACTTTGCTGAAAATCCTGAAACCATAAATAGCCCAGCGATGTCCGCATTTGTTACAAACTTATTGAAAGAGGTCAAAGAACTATGACAACCCGTTCGACAATACAGCAAAAGTTTTGAAAAGTATCTCACTTCTCGCTATCACAATGGCAGTCCCGGAACAGACCCGCGCGCCATCTCTTTTCATCAGCCATGGAGCAGGACCCCTTCCGCTCATTCACCCGGACTTTCAGGAATACCGGCAACTAGCTGCCAAGTTAGGAAGCAGGCTTGATGGCGTCAAAGGCATCATCCTCCTCTCAGCACAGTGGGAATGCAACGAGCCCGAAATCACTGCCCTTGAGGACCCTGGTCTCTATTTCGACTACGGAACTGTAACCGCAGGCCAAAAGCATGTTGCGCCCGAGGCCTACGAGACCAATTACCCTGTCCTCGGAAACGCAGCATTGGCTGTGGAGATCAATCAACGCCTTCTGGATTGCGGCTTCAAGCCAGTCCTCAATCATAAGCGTGGCCTTGACCACGGCGTCTTTGTCCCGCTAAAGATCATGCGACCTGAGGCAGACATACCGGTTGTCCAAGTGTCTGTTCTCACGGGAAAGGACGAGGAAGAGGCCACAGACAAGAACCTGCGTCTGGGCAGCACCTTGAAGTATTTCAGAGACTATGGGTACGCGATCATGGGGAGCGGCGGGTCGTATCACGACTTTGATACTACGATGGCCGTGCTCGAAGGCTCTAGCCAACTTCCCCCCGGGGCCGAGGACTTTGAGAACTACCTCAAATCAGTGGCAGCAATTCCCGATGCAAAGGCTCGTGAGAAGGCCCTTCAGGGCTGGCGAGATATCCCGTCGAGCTATGTCTCTCACCTGCAAGCCGAGGCAGAACACTTTTGGCCGTTTCTCGTTGCTGCCGGTGGTGGTGGAGACGTTGCTGGGCGGCGAATCCTCAAGTTTGTCTCTCACGGCGTGCCTGTGAGCTTCTTCGAGTGGTGAGAATTGGCATGAGAGACTGGCTGGGAGAGCAGAGTTGAGTTTGAGACGACGCGGTTGAAGTGTGCTATCACTGCTCATTGCGTTGAGGATTTTACTGTAGCTAGGCCCAGCAGGAAGACTTTGTGTGCTCAATGGAAGTTAGCCGTGCCATCAGCCATGCGAGTTTGTGTCTTCCGTGTTGGGTCCATTCGTATTGTGGGCTAGAGTCATATTGTGAGAAAATTCGAAGTTCTGCAACCAATCAGATCCTTCGGATCTTCCACGGAAGGGTGGCCGAGTTGGTTATGGCGCCAGGTTAAGGTCAGCTTAACATCTGTTTCCTGGTGGGGCAACCCGCGCGAGTTCGAGTCTCGTCCCTTTCATTTTTCGTTTTTTGTAACGTCTGTCTCGTGCATATGCGGAGCGTTCTTTTTGAATATTCAACAATTACAGGCGTACAAGTTGAGTTCATAGAATGCAAATTTTCAAGCTTCATCCAGAAGGAGGGGGTATCTTTTATTCGCTGGCAATGCCGACAGGTCTAGCCCATCGTCCTAAATGCCTTCTCAAGTGCTTTGCCCAGACGAGTGCACATCGTCGTTTGGTGTCAAATGGTGTATCTGAACCGCGGACTCTCGTCTCCAAGCTCCGCAAGCTCGTCATCAGACAGATCACGATACTTGTCCTCCGCAAGACCGGCCTCCCGCTGCTTATTAGCCCTCCAGTACCAGAACCACATGAAGCCGTACAAGCACGTCCCCATTCCGACCATGCTCAGCGTCACCGCGTGGCCCCCGATGTACCTGGGCTTGTCGATCGCTTGACTACGCTGCCTGTTAGCCGCTGCTTGCCTCTCACTCAGACGGCCGAGCCACTCACTAGATGAAAGACGACATCACCCCAGAACAGTTCCCAATCGTCAGCTGCATCCCGCTCGCAGTCGTCCTCTTGCCATATCTCGGCGAGTTATTCGGCAGCTGCAAACCTCTTGTTAGCCCAGAAGCACACGCACTCTGTAGGAGGGAAAGGCTCACCCAAGCCAGCGGCAGTCCGACGACGACGTACAACCCGGCCGCCACCAGGAAGCATCCAAAGTAATGCACCCCAGACGAGGTGTCCGAGATGAGAATGGCGTACCCGATCACGCTCACGCTCCCGAAGACCACGCAGAACAGCCCGCGGAGCTGCTTGCGGTCCGACAGGAAGGCCGCGGTCATGTACACCACCACGCCGAGGGCGTAGCACGGCACCGTGAGGAGCTGCACCTGCGCGACGGTCCAGGTGCCGAGGCCGTTGATGATCGTCGGGAGGAAGGTAGAAAAGCCTGTTCCGCAGTCAGTCACGAACCGCACAATTCCGGAGGCAGACACTCACCGTAGAGCATGGTGTCCACGCCAAACTGCGCCACGCAAAACACCCAGACCTTCCAGTCCTTGAAGGCCTTCCACATGTCCTCGCGGCTGAACTCCTGCGCGCTGCTCGTGTTGCCGTACTCCCGCCCCCGCCTCTCCACCATCAGCCTCTTCTCCTCCTCGCTCAGGAAACTCGCACTCGCAGCATCATTCGGCAGCAAAAAGAAGGTCACAACACCAAGCACAACCGTCGGCAGGCCCTCGATAATCATAATCCACCGCCACCCGCTCAGCCCGGCCACGCCCTCCATGTGCCCGATCCCATACGCCAGCAGCCCGCCCAGCCCGCCCGCGATGGCCGCGCTGACGAAGAGGTAGCCCACGCGCAGCGCGAGCTCGTGCTTGCTGTAGAAGAAGGTGAGGTAGACGTTCAGCCCGGGGAAGAGGCCGGCCTCGACGGCGCCGAGGAGCAGGCGGCACGCGATGAGGGCGCCGTAGGAGTCGACCAGCCCCGTGAGGGTGGCTATGATGCCCCAGGCGACGGTGATGAAGGCGATCCAGCGGGAGGGCGTGAAGAGCTTGAGGACGAGGTTGGAGGGGACCTCGAAGATGATGTAGGTTACGAAGAGGATGGACACGGCGACCTGGAACTGGTTTCCTTGGAGGTTGAGGTCGGACTCGAGGTTGTAGAGGCGTGCGTTGCCGATGTTGACGCTGGTGGGGTTAGAGAGTGCATGTGGGCAAGGTATGGCAGACTCACCGGTCTAGGAAACTCAGGAGGTAGAGGAGCATCACAAGGGGAATGATGCGCGCGTCCAGTTTTCTGACGAGCTGCTTCTCCCGCAACGCCAGGTCGTCGTCGACGGGTGACAGGTCCCGGGCGTCGATCTCGGGCGAGCTGGCGCCGGGCCCGGCGTCGGCGTGCTTCTTCGCGGCGTCCATGCCGGCGGTGGTTCCGTGGAGGTTAGAGAGGTCCGAATGGACTCTTAGTTGCAGACCAGCAATAACCCTGCGTCAATTGCGCAAAAGTCTGTCGTTGAGAGAGTTTGGCGCAAGGTCTGTTGAAGGGTTGACGTTGACTCAAGGCTCCCTTGGATTCCGACGGGCTGATCGTCACTCTATCCCGGTGCGTCAACGACAAGTTCGCGCTGGACAGGATGATGCGGCCGGCGGGGGTGGTGCCGTTGAAGATGGCGGGGTGTCGTGCAGATATTACACGCGGGCGCGGTGCATGGGACGATTGAGATTTTACTTCTCTGCAGTGTCAACTGTAGACCCCTCCAGTTCCTATGTCGGCGGGGTTGGGTTGACTAGACAGAGACTATGGCACGATGTTTGTAATTACCCGCCCAAGACAGTGGCTGGCTGGGGCGAAAAACAACTCAACTCGTGAAAGACGCTTGCATGAGTCAGGATGGAAGACTGCAGAGAAGGCGAGACTGTTGTAACAAAGAGGGTTGGACTTTTAGACAGAAGAAGACAATAACTATCAAATGGTTCCTCGGTCTACTCCCCGTCTTGCCTTGCCCCCGCGGTATCTTTCTCCAGAAACCAAGACATTGCAGATAAGATCCTGACATTGCTGCCCCCCGGGGTCTGGAACCCATTCGGAGCTGCAGCTAAGAGAAGACAGAAACAACCGCGACAGGGGTGCTTGTGCTTGTTTGGTTCGAGCTTACGCAGGTTTTTTTTTTTTTTTTTTCCCCCTTCCGTTGCCCGCCGCCCACTCTGTGCACCCGCAGTTGCACTTGCGCCCCAATTCGCCCGCGCTGTAGGAGATACCCGACCTGGTGCCACCGCTCGAGACGGTGTCCCTGGAGGAGGGGCTCTTTGGCGAGGTTTCTGTCTTTGTTTGAACGAACCCTGGGGGGGGAAAGGGTGGGTGTGTTGCGTCCGGGGTGGACGTTTGTGACCATCAAAAGGCTTGGCTTACATGAAGCATTGCAGTCGGCAGAAATACCGCCGATGGCTCGGGTCCGGACTGACAAATAGCACACCTTCAACAACAAGATGGTTCCGCGTGCTGACGAAACATGGACGGTCTTCTGGAACTTCCAGACCTGATGAGTGATAGCATTGGGAGGAATGATGGTGACGTCCGCATCTTACAATCCCTCTTTGGCGGGACAGAATGAGTTCCCGGTACCAAGACCCGTTGACACCCGGTCTGTCGGGCTTCTGAGGCTGTCGACCAGACGTCTTGAAGGCTCATGTGAAGTTCTCTTCATATCAGAGCAGGGTCGCATCGGCACGCAACCACGAGATATCGACTGATTACCAAGAGCCTGTCACTTCTTTCCCCAGGATGCGTTTTCAAAGACCCAGGGTCATCCATTGGCGACCCAAAACAGTAAAACTTGGGATGAACGACACCTCGCCGGGATGCACCCGCAACAGCCACGCTCCTCCTAAACTCAACTCATGTCCTCGTCAAGCGCATTTTCAACGTCACACACATACCTCCTAGCTCTCTCGTCGCCCCTTGTCAGGCAAAGAAGCTGTATGGCGCCAAGAGATAAGGCGTGAGACCAAGGTGCTGACACTGCGTCGTCGTCGACGTCCACAATGCGGACATGCAAGCCATATGCGAGCTGGAGCTGCCCCCCTCCCACCGGCAGAGCTAACGACGCACATCATTCCATGGCGCCAACGTCGCGCTCTTCAAGATCCATGACAACTTGCGCCAACGTCAAAAGACTTTACATATAAATCACTCTTATTTTTTACCATCATGCAACTTGCATTGCCATGCTACCTCGTACACATTACGAAGATTATCTACCGCGAGAGAGTTTTGAACCCCAAGTATGAGCCCCCTCAAATGAAAATGCTTCCTGTGCGGCCTTGCTTCCATCTGCCGCCAGCCTGCCTTCCTGCCCCGTGCCCAAGGCAGGGCAAAAGCTTCAATGCAACGCTTCAGTATCCTAAAACCAAATCCAAGTAATAGCCTTTATGTATATATTTACAACCTCCCCACCCACTCCATCTTTCAAATCTGCCACAAAAGAAAAACATACGCAAGATACACACACATGCATTATCGATAGTTCTGGGCAGGCATCTCGTATACGTCCGGCACCGGCCCAGACTGGAACGACGTCATGTGCTGTCGTTGCTGCGGCGGCTGCGGCCTAGGCTGCCCGTCGCCCATCTCGACAACCTCGTCGCCGCCCATCTCGGGCGGGAGAATCCGCGTGCCGCCCAGCTCGTTCGCCCCGTTCGCGGGCCTCGTGTACCCAGAGCCGTAGTCGTTGGCGGGCGACACCGTCTGATTCGACATGGGGCTGACGCTCTGCGTGGGCGGCGATAGCTGGCTGCTCTTGCGCGGCACGGGCTGGCGCCTGTGAGTCGGCGTGGTGGCGGCAGCTGCGCCGAGGCCGGCTCCCGTCTCGGACATGCCGTGGCCGTGGTCGTAGGACGGGCCGTTGGGGTCGTAGGCGCGCATGTCGTCGAGGTCGGCGGCGCTGGGGCGGTTGGCCTTGTGGCGCTTGTAGAGCCACCAGCCGATGCCGAGGAGGAGCGCGAGGCCGACGACGCCGACACCTGCGCCGATTCCGGCCTTCGCGCCCGTGGAGAGCCCGCCGTCGCCGCTGCCGCTGTCGCTTGAGCCTGTCGCGGAGGAGCCGCTGTCGGTCGCGGTGGCGATGTTGCCTGTCGTCGGGCCGGCGTCGACGGTGGCGGCGGAGGTGGTGTCGACCGAGGTGGAGGTGACGAGCAGGGTGGAGGTGACGGTGATTGTGGTCTGGGCGTTGTTGAAGAGGGTGCTGACGATGGTGGAGGTCTGGACGAGGTTGGAGGTGGTGGTACGGACGACGGTGCTGGTGCGGACGTTGGTGACTGTCGCGTCGGCGCCGGCGGTGCCCGTGACGGTGACGAAGACTGTGACGATGGCGCGCTTCTCGATTACAGCGTGCTTGCGCAGGTCGGCTGCAGGGGTGATTTGGGCGGCGGGGGCGGCGAAGGGGGCGGTCTCGGCGGGGAGGAAGTTGATCCAGCGCTTCGCGAGGATGGTGGAGGTGACGTACTCGGTCAGGGTGGCGGTCGCGACATCGTTGCTGGTGACGGTGGTGGTCTCGAAGGTGGTGGTGGTGACGACGACGGTGGTGATGACTGTGCGGAGGAAGTTGGAGGTGACGGTGACGGTGCCTCCGCTGCCGCCGCCGACGGTGACTGTGTCTGTGATTGTCGTCGTCGCCTCTGCTGCCTCGCTCGTCGTGGGCGTCGATGCCACGGGGGTCGTCGATGTTGGTGTTGAGCCCGTGCCGGACCCCTGTCTGGGGCGGAGGCCGGGCATGGCTTTGGCGTCGTCGGCGAGTGGTGATGCTGTCGCGATGTTGCTGCTGCTAAAGGACCAGAGCAGGGCCAGGAGGCCGGCCGATCCGAGACGCATGGCTGCGGTAGAGTCGCTCAATGGCGAGAGGGAGCAACCTGGGTGTGTTTGTTGGACAAAAGAGAGATCCGGGTGGATGTCGACGATAGTTGGAAAGGTTGGTGATGAGGGTGGAAAAGTGTGAAGCGACGTCGTCTGGCTTCGAGGGAGGGAGGTCCAGGAAAGGTTCGAGAGTGTGTGTGTGCCACCACGGCGAAACACGGTGGAATGAAAAGCTCGTAACAAGTCACCAGCGCCCAGAGACACAGGAAACGGTTTATTACGAGACCTGCTGAGAGGCACAAGCAGTAGCGCAGAGCAAAGAGTGCAGAGGATAACCGAGCAGGCGGAGGGTGCGGGAAGATCAGATGCGGTCTAGTCGACCCTAGCCACCTGCTAACCGCAGATACGTATCTCCCTCCAGGTCCTGCTGTATTCGGTGATCTCCTCTGCACCTCCTAGGTACCTAAGCGTGTCGGCCGACGGGTGCTAACAGAAAGGCCACTCGTAATAGCGTCTCCAGCATGGTGGCGCGGCAACTGTTTTTTTTCTCTTCCTCGCTCACTTTTCGCGCTTTTTTCCCATCAGGTAATGAATCCCCTCTTTTCCTCGCCGCCCTCTCCCTTCTGTCCCGGAGGTTCCTACATCCCCACCGTCGGAGTCTGGAGAGGAAGCCGACGGGCTAGTATAAAAAGGACATAGATTAAATGAAAGAAAACAAGTGGACACCAGGAAGAGGGCCTGAGTCTGACAAGTGACAACGAATTAACCTCGCAAATGGCAGGTGGTCCTACCGACAATGTGCAAAACGGAATGAGCAAAAGGCTGTGAAGCAGGGGTCCTTCGGGAACAGGGGGTTCCTCTTCGCTGGTTCATCGGTAGGAACATGCCTGACTGGGAAACACAATGACACAATTGCACAAGGGGCACCTCCCAGAGCAGCACAAGAGACGGAAAAGAGACCAGACGGTGGTGTTGATGGGTAATGGTATGCCCTGTCAATAGCACATCCCCCAACAGGGCCCCCTTGTGATGATGTGTCTGCGCTGCCTCGGGAGAGTTGGCTGCTGCGCTGGCAGTGCTGGACAGCAGCTGGCAACCAACCGTCGCCTCTGGCCTCGCCCTGCGCATGTTCATGTGCTGTGCAGACGTGACCGATGGACCCTTGGACCCCCGAATGCGACCCGAAGGAAGCGCGCAGCTTCTGCGTAACTCTACCGCGTAATGAGAGGGCCTGCAGCGTACGCACGATACATAGGCCTATGATCATCGACAATAAATGGGAACAGAAACGTCGATGATGCGGAATTCCATTGGGCAATGCGGGAAAAATGCGGGAAAAACACGAAAAACGGTGCCCCCCCCCCCTCTTCCCCTGGATCCTAGCCTCTGGCAGAGGCCTAAGGAGGTCTTGTGACGGGATCCTTGAATCTCCCAGCCAACTCTTGGCCCGTCATGCGGCCGGGGAAGAAAAGTGTGGGCGGCAGGCAAACATACGATGGGCTGAGTAACCCGAGGCCGAAGAAGAAAACATACAACGCGAAAGGGCTTCTTCTGTTCCATCTTGAAGGTG